AAACAGTTGAAGCATGAGGGGATGAATTTGCTACTGCTGGCTTGGTGAGGTTTTGAAATATTCAAACTGCTTCTCTGAGAATCAACTTGAAATTCATCTAAGATGTCCTCTATATCATAAGCCAAGTCCCTAATTTCAGCGACCCATATCTTTATCAACTCGCTGGAATTAGACATCTGCTTTTCTTCTGCATCTGCAAGAAGGGCAAAGATTTTCGGCAATAAGCTCTCCCAGTTTTGCAACTTATTAAGGACCTGCTTCTGCAAATTGAGTGATCTGCTGAACTTCAACTTCTTAAACAGCTCCTCAAAAGCAACAGTTAAGAAAGCACCTCCAGCAATAGATAAGAATTCCATTGAATGATCAGGTTTTCTGTAAATTTAGGGTTAATTAAGGTACGTTTAGTATACATGGTAATTCAACAACGAAAAATAAAAAATGAAAAATATTAATAAATTATTAATATGTGGCATTAGTTACTAGAAGTAAAAAAATGAAAACAAAAACAAAAACAATTATATTGAATGGATCCTTAATTCTTAAGGGATTTGGTGGCACAAAGCATTAAGCGTTCACTAATTGCTTACTCTGTAACTTTATTTATTTATTTATTTATTTTTGTTTTGTTGACATTATTTTAGTTAATATGGTAAACACATTTTCAACCTAAAAGAATAGAGATTTGAAAAGTACTTAAAAAATAGAACTAGGAACACTTGGATTTTCAATATATTATTCAGATCTAAAAAAATAAAATAATAGTAATAAAAAAGAAAAAAACAAATATACGATTAAGAACATTTAATGTTACATACCTTACTTTGCTTCCTAGCTTTGTTTTTTTTTTTTTTCCAAATGCTCAGAGTTGAAAGTGGACACAAATTTGCTGCCTGCTGGAAGTGGGTGGTAACTAAACTCTGAGAAGAAACAGACAAAGAGTAAGTAAATTTTAAGATGAAGGAACTGAAACTAGGAAAATGAATTAAAAACAAGAGATGGAAGAGATGAGGAGCATACCTTTTGCCTTAGGGCTGAAACTTGAGCACTGGAAAGGAAGGACACAGAAGCTTGGAACAGAGGAGAGGCTGATCTGAGATGAATGGAAAAACGAAAGGAAATCGCCACTTAATTTGTTAGGCAGCTTTCCTCAAAACGGGCAGAGCATTGATGCCTTTGCTTTTTGACGAAGACCCACTAGTGGCTCCAATTATTGATCCTGGAAGAAGGAAGACTGTGATTTCTGAGTCTTTTCCTCTTACATTTATTTTCTTCGTTTCCCACTAATGAAATGAAATTGTCTTTCTTTGCATGGCCCACCATGGTTTTATTTAAAAGATCCACTTGCAGGGGAAGTGTGAAGTTTAGTGGAAATTGACTAACTTAAGTATAACACGCCAAAGACCTTTGGAGGTCCCCATAATTTGCAGGAAAGCAAAAACATTAGCTTGAAGAGTCTCTTGCTTTTCTAAAAGAAAAACGGAGCCAGAAATGAATCCACTTGGCATCTTAGCATCTTTAGCTTTTCAAGGCAAGTTTTTTGTTTGGTAGATGAACATACCCTTTTCAAATAGATTTTTCAATACCTTTTGTCATGATTGGTTGAAACCGCAAAGGAAAGAGAAAGGCCCCTTTTTTTTCCGTGTAATTCCAGACTCTTTCTTGTTTGTCTTTTCTCTTTTGTTGATTGTCTGTTCTCATATGCCGATTTGTAATTGTAGTTTGTTTTGGTTGTTTTCATGTGGACTCAATTTTAATGTCGATTCTCTGTATTATCTCAATTTTGAGGTTTTTTTGGTTCATCAAGAAATTTGTATGATCAAAATAGGAAAAATGTTTAGGA